ACTAAAACTAACTTTTATATAGAGTGAATCTTTGAACTTGATATAGTACAACTAGATTTTTCTGTCAAATAAATTTAATAAGAGGATGGTGAAAGTGGCCCTTAAAGAAATAAATATACCGTTATAACAAAGATGAGTGGGACTAATAACTATGTGAATGACTAATAACAGTGAATCATCTGATGGTTCTTCAATACGATTTATTAACAGAAAGTTCCGCTTAAGAAAACGTTTATGCTTTTCTTTTGATTCTTCTGATTGTAACAAAAATTTGTTTGTTGCACATAAGTCTATTAATCGGTATCCCCTATCATTCTATCTTCTCATACAGTTTTGCATTTAGCTATTTACTTCTGCCTGTTTTTGCGTTTAACTCTCCTAAGACTATTAATTCTTTGCCATCGCCCAATGTGTTTATGGTAGATAAAACATTTCTTTTTCTGCAGCCTTTGCATCTTCATTTAGTGCCACCAAAACCAACCGTAATACAGTCTACTGCTTGTGTCCATCAAAACCCAGCTGACAACCCTCCATCACAGTTTTAACAGTTCAAGGCTGATTTTTGACGTTTTTAGCGCTTTAACATTTTACGATGAGCAGATCCCTTCCTTCTTTATCCGAACTAGCGACCGTCATCGCTTCTCTCTCTGCTACTTAATCCTCATTTTGTTCCACAATGGCGAAGTCTTGTACACTTGCAAAAAATATTATTTTAAGGACACTTATCAGCTGTAAGAAAACATTAATAATAGAATTCCTTATAATAATTTATTCACTTCTTTACATGTTTTATGAGGATTCATATTTAATGTGATAAGTCAGGGTTGTCATAAGGACATCACTTTTTTCCATGCAAAAGTTTGCTTTTGCAAAACTACCCATTCATATATTGCGAGTTATATGAAATTCCTGGTAAATGANAGGGGGATCACGGAACACCTAATTGCGAGAGTGAAGGAAATATACATGGAGACTATGGCTAGGATAAAAGTGGGAGATAAGCTGAGCGACGTGTTCTGGACGACGAAGGGACTGAGGCAGGGATGTCCGCTGAGCCCAAGTCTGTTTGCACTGTATACGGCGGACCTGGAGGATAGATTGTGGAAGGGGAAAATGGGAGGGTTGGTGGTGGGAGGTAGAAAGGTGCATATGTTAGCATACGCGGATGACATCGTGGTCATGGCGAGAGAAGCGGCGGAGATGAAAGATATGATAAAGACATTGGAAAGATATTTTAGGGGGAAGGGGCTGGAAGTGAATGTGGGGAAGACAAGGATGATGAAGTTTTGTAAGGGGGGGAGAAACAGAACAGAAAACTGGAGATGGGAGGGAAAAGAGATCGAAGAGGTTAGGGAGTATACTTACTTGGGGTATGTGTTCAGGGAGGGGTCGCATGTGATAGCTATGGCAAAAAAGGCGAATAAGGTGATGGGACAAGTATGGGGTTGGGGGAAGAGAGTTTTTGGAAGGAATGTGGCAGCGAGGAAGATTATGTTTGAAGGCCTGGTTAGCAGTGTGATGATGTATGGAGCAGAGGTATGGGGATGGAGAGAGCAGGCAATGCTGGAGGACGTGCAAGCTAGATATTGGGGATGGGTGCTTGGGGTGGCGAGAGAAACACCGGGGTATATAGTGAGGGAAGAGGTAAAGGTGGATAAGGTCAGAGTGGAAGCGGGCAGGAGAGCAGTGAAATATGAAGAAAGAATAGAAGGGAGGCCAAACTGCGGGATCTTGGGGGAGTGTTGGAGGGAAAGATCAGATATGGGAAAGGAGACAGAGACAACTATTATAGACGAGCGGGCTACTCGGTAACTGAGATAAATAGTAGACGAAGGGTGGGTAGGGAGATGTGGAGGGAGTTGAGAGATACGGACCGAGATGTGCAGAGACAGGAAAGAAGGACACAAATAAAAGAGGGGCGGTATAACGAAAGGTACAGGGACATAATAACGGAGGGGCTGCCTAGATACTTGTTATTGGAAGGAGATGAGGAAGGGAAGAAATTGGTGGCTAGGTTCCGTTGTGGAAACGAGGAGAGAGCTAACAGATACTGGATGGCCGATGAGGAGAGGTGGTGTAGGCTATGCAGGGAGGAATGGGAAACGTTGGAACATATGTTGAATGGGTGCAGTGAGGTGAGGGAGGAGGAGTTGGACCGAGGGCAGATCTTAGGAGAGGGGGAGAGGGGAAACGATGGATGAGAATGGTTGTGGGGGTAAGGAGACAAAGGGAAGGATGAGGGGATGATTGGGCCGAGGAGCCGAGGGTATGGAAATGGAGGAAGAGGGTAGAGAGTGAAAATAATATACTAATAATATATATTAGAATGTATTAAGGGGATAAAAATTGTAAATATTAAAAACAATAAATGCTTATTATTATTATTATTTAATGATCTTGAAATTGTTGGGTCTTGATATCTTACATTTTTAACCTTATAATCGTCGTTTTTTCACCACGAAGCAAAAATCTATTTTTCCGCATTAAATTTGCAGTTTTTAATTGATTTTTTAAGTTGATGATGACAAAGAAAATGTAATACCGGATGTTCTATCGGAGCATATAATTTCTCAAGAGGCCGTTCGGTTCCGAGAGACCCCTCTTTTTCTTTGCGGTGACGTAAGAGGCGCGGTTCTTGCAAGACCAACAAAGAAAACGCAACGACGACGTCGAGGATCAGATCGGGTTGGCGGCGCGGTGGAATGTGGTGAGGTTATGTGTCGCAGCTCTCTTCTAGCAATCGGCCGCAACGTTGGAAAACCATCTTAATCGTTCTATCTCACTTTCTCAACCCAAAAATCCTATTTATCTATTTCTTAAATGGATAAATTATGCGATTTTTAATTGCTCTTTTAATTCCCAGTCGGATCGATGGTATTAATTGGAGATAACTTCGGGAAACTAAAATTCATTAACAAATTGATACACTAAATAGTGGTTGGAACAACGGTTCGCATTCAAATCTAAAACATTATTTTACCGAGGGGTTTAATTAAATTGATTTTAGGGGTAACGAGAACGGGATAGAGGTGCGGGGAGGGCCACAAACAATTTGAGATTATTTTAAGTTGATTGGATTAAAACCGGGGTTTAACTTTAAAATGCAAGATGTACGGCTTTTTTTAAAGGTAATTAATTAAAAACATTATCGATTTTAATCACGTGTTGTTTTGAAAGATTTTTATGTTAAGATAAGATTATGGAACATTGTGGGTTAATACCTCAATCTAAACGATTTAAAGACCATCTGTTGGTGGCACTCCCCACCAAATTAACTACCTCTTTACACATGCTGGGGATAAGTTGGAAATCTTTAAGTGTAAGAATGGTAAAACTAAGAACTTCATAACTAACATGTCACAAGGAAACTAGTCCAGAGAAACTAGACGGATGGATAAAGGGTAAAGTAATAAAACATAAATAGCAGTTCTTGTCTGCTATACAGGGATGCAGAAGTTGCAACTCTTACTACCATTCTAGTAATATTTTGCAAAAATTACTTTTGCATTCATTTTTCTTGATTAATATTTGATGCTCACACTGTTCTAGATCTTGTAATTTTCTGTACAAGTTACTACCACCATCTGTGTTGTATATTTTAATCGATACTTTTTGGTAACCCTCCAAAATCATATTTAACAACTTATTCAACATTTGTGCACGGGAATTTCTTCTCTTGCCCTTTTTTTAAATATATCTCACAGTAGGAGCAAAACTTATTACGAATTCTCACGGACAATGGTTTCTTTGTTCAAACTCCTATAATACACGCTACTCCTGTTCGAGTGGTAGTTGCTGTAATAAGACAGCAAGACCGGGAGAGAAGGCATTGAAATATGGAGGCATTTATTGAAAAATGTTTATTAAACCTATAAAAACAATTTTTGTCATTATTGAGACAAATATACATTGCATTTTTCTCAAAAATAAAGGACTTGTAATGCAGGTTTCAGGTCTCTTTTGGGTTGCATCCAAATTTGTTTCTTTGATGAAAGATATTTAATAAATTGGTAAGATTAATCAATTTGAATCATTTTTGAATTTTGTTACATCTTATGGAAGGTTCTTACCTTTTGCGTCTACCAAGGTGGTGAGCAAGATCGTACTCGTCTGGTATTACACTCACTATTACTTTACTTTTGAAAAATTACTCACTCTTATTACTACGAATTGTGCCAGATATGACACAAGTCTTAAAACTATATCTATCTTTAGGGATATCAAGAACAAGAACCTTACGCACGTCATTTCCACATTAACAAACACCCAAATAAGGAATGTAAGGGGAAAACATTAATTTTTGTCCATTACGTTGCAATCTATGCGCTCCAGCTGAACAAAACGATTCTCTTAAGACTAAACGTAAAATATTACCTGTATACTTCAAAAAAACGAATACAAAGTTACATATTTTTCGTAAATAAAAAGTGACAGGTGTCACTATGCAAAAAAATGTCAATAGATGGCGCTAATTTCATAATTGACTTAAGCTCATTCTTTTCTTTTATCTATTTCTAATAATATTATTACAAATATTTACAATTAAAAGATAAGATTATTGTGATTCATACAATTAAACTTGTTATTCAACACACATATATGCGATATAACTTATAAAAGTTATTTGAAAAATATTTCTATTAAAACCACTTCCGTAACGAATTATTTACGGTGGAAAAGTCAATTAAAATTTTAAAAAACCTGTTGCTTTCAACATAAAAATTAAAAGTGTATTTTTAAAATCCGTTTACACACTTTTATTTATATTAAAATTTCTTTTAAGTTTTAAAAACTTTTGAAGAGGTCCCAAAGGTTATAAACCTTTTCTTTAATAGAACAAAATTTCTCGAAACTTATCTAAATTAACGATTTAGATAAACTTAAAGTGACCCAAAAGGCTTTATGAAAAAGAACTTTGTTAAAACAATGAGTTCATTATCAAAAAAAAAATATGTTGGTATCATTGAAGTAATAAAAAAGTATCAAAGTAGTCTGTTTACCTGCTGAACAGGTCGCCATGACGACCACGGAAACCACAAGAATCCCTATGACAAGATTTCGTTCCTTTTCCTCCATTTTCGAACGCGATTTCACCAAAAATCTTTTACACATAGTTATTTAATAATAACCCTACAAAAAAATCGAATCAAAACCAACTTAATCACATTTTCAAAGCAAAAACTAAAATTATAACAGAAAAGTGATTGTCTCCCAACGGAAACACTTCTTACATACACACACACCTGTGGCTTTTTAGTTGTTTCGACACGAAACTCGTTTAAAACTTAAAAACACCCGTTTATACGACCGCCGAAATATCACCAGCATTTTTTTCTTAAATTTTATATTAATTTTAAGTTGTTGAAAACTTTTCGCGTTCGCATTGCATCGTTTTTAAAATGCGAACGCGACCGTTCTGAGGTTAAAGGATAACCGATGTTTCCGATAACGCAGTTGGAATTCAACTGAAGTCTACCTGTTTCTTGTTTGTATTGTGGCCGTTACCGTATTAATACGCATGCGCGAAGCTAAGGTAAGAAATTTTAAACTTATCATTTGTAGCGCCATCTATTTGAAAAATAATAAGTTTTAATTTGTACAAATTGTACAGGAAACTAACTAAAATTAAAATTAACTTATTTTAAAACAATTACTTTTTATTCTTGTAATTAAAATAAACTATAATGGATTTTTATGATATTTTTATTGTTTACTTTTAGAGGTCAAAAACTTGTATTAATAAAGGTATAATGGTTTAAACATCACTTGTCGTTTTCCTTTTAAAAAAAGTGGTGCGAAAAGCAAACCAAATTTTTTCTCACATTATTGTTGGTCCATAGGTAAATCTCTTTCATATTCAAGCCTAGATGGATGAAATTTCATAGCGCAATAGGCATCATCTTCAACGTCGGCGACCCACATCACACCTCGATTTTCAAAGAGACCTTTCATCAGTGGCGTCAGAAACGTTATGCAAAAAGCAACCATGAGAAGATGAGCCGGAAAATTTAACCAAGGATAACGACAAAACGTTCCTGTACGTTCTAAATGGTTACATAATAGAGGAGTAAGGACTAAAAAAAATTATTTAAGGTTATAGGGTTAGATTTGGGCAATTTAGTTTACGTAAAGGCGGTGCTGCCATCATAATTCTACATAAAATATCATCGCCAACTGCTTTACGAGCAGCGCTTGTTGACCACCCCATTGGTATTCCGCGTGTATCAACCAATGGTACACCTCCATTTAAGTCGCAACTTCTTAAAAGTGGTACCCTTACACAATCTGCTAATGCTACCGCTACAAACGGTACACTTCTCCAGTAAAGTTTATCATACATTTTCTGAATTAAAAAAGAATTTGTCGTTAAATTGAACTATAATATCGGGAATTTCATATAACTCGCAATATATGAATACAGTAACCAGAGTTACTAAACTATTGTGCACTTCTCACATAAAATGCAACATAGCTTAATGGTACAGGCATCGGATAGTTTTGCAAAGGAAAAATTTTGCTTGGAAAAAGGTGACGTCCTTATGACAACTCTGAGTTTTCATGGCTAAACATGGCTAAACCTGAATTATTCTAGTTCTAGCTTTAGTTCTAGTGATAGTGCAAAACTAGAACTAACACTAAACCTAAAACTAGAAAGTTTCGGGTTTAGCCATGCGTCTAAATTATTGTATATTTTTATTGAGCTATAACATGTTGCATTTTATGTGGGACGAAGTAGGTACGCCCTGGTTTCTATGGAAATATATTTTAGTATATTGCATCTTAAGTGAAATTCACTGTATAAAATAAGAAATTCTTTTTGTTTTACTTTGCAAACAGTTCCTAAACCGATTGCTGCTGCTACAGCTACGATTGTTGCTGCTCCACAAGCTTTATAAAGTGACCTAAAAGAAAACATTAAAAAAAGTGCGGTTAGATTTGAAAATAACTTGTGTCAAATTACTATAAATTTAAATTTTGAAAACTTACTCATCCGATATTTCTTGTTTTCTCGTTCGATTACAAGAAATAACGAAAGCATTAAATCCTTGATTAACGGTTTGTAAAGCCCCAATGGCGATCATATTTTTATAATAAGCCAACATACCACCCACTAAAAGCGAATTAAATATAATTCTAGTTGCCCTACGTGCCGGATATTCAACCAATTCCCCTGTGTCCGGATGATAACACGCATCCACCAAAAACTTTGCATTCCACAGTTCCACTTTCGTCGGACATGGTGGTTCCAACTTTTTTATTCTGACAAAAGAAGTTTTAGTTTTACTTTGACCGTTTCTTATTGATTAACTTACAGATATAAATCAACAATTTCTTTACAACATTCCAAAAAATTGTGCGATGCGAAAGCGAACAGAGGATTATTCAAAAAAAAATATTCCTTAACTCTGCCCCAATATGTTGTTTCGTCGAATTGGGGTTGACGTATATCGACTTCTTTCGTGGGACACTTTTTCGAAAAGATACACATATTAGTTACTTTTTTTTGCAAATCGTTTTTTTCACTTAAAATTTAGTTTTATTTATATGCATATGACAAGTGATTTTAAACTGTCATTTTCAAAACCAACCAACTACGATTTTAAAAATATTATTAAAAGCTGATTTATAACAAATTAATTTTGCCGTCTTCGTACATTTTACGTTAATGCTCTAACTCCATCTTCACACCGTCTCGAACAGATAACGCCACTGATGTAAATTTTAAAATTTTCTTACCTCTTATACCATTGCGCACAAAATTTAGATGTATGTGTATTTGGTATTGTGACAAGTGATTTTTAAACTGACATTTCTTTAAAGATAACCGACTACGATTTAAATAATTAATTTTGAATCGAATTAATCATGGATATGTACATTTTAATAATCTTAATCCAAAAACAAAATAAACTAACAGAATATGTACAGGGTGGTTCAAATTCGATGTCCGAATAGGCTAACTCGGAAACTATAAGAGTTAGAAAAAAAGTAGCTTCCATGTCATGATCTCGTTTTTCGAGAAACTGCTAATGCCGAAAACCTCATAGCGCTATCGTCTTTTGTTTTTCCCCTAGAGGCCAAAATTGAAAATATCGTAAAACCAATAAGTGCAATTATCTTGGTTATTATTATAGGTGGAGTATTATAACTACGACATTATATGGACACTTTTTTACAGAGAATTTCATGACGTAGTCAAAAAAAATTTTTCGGTTTTAGATTTTGAGATATCATGAGAATTTTCGTTTTTTTAAATGGAAACAACCACTGATTATTCGCTTATTAAATTCGTTATTTTTTTCTGATTACAAAAATATAGGGTTCGACAGGTCTATTTCTTATTGTTTTAGAATAAAGCTAAAAATAAACTTTTTTTATAAAATTTCCATCTAGTGTCGTCGAGGAAATTAAATTTACAGTTTCCTGTAAGTTACGGGGCGGTAGGTAAAATCTAAAAAGTTAACAATTAAATACGAAGATAACTTCTGGTATTTAAAAACAAATAATTTTTTAATATGTAACATTCTAACATGTCAAACTTTTCAAAATTTTCGTAATTGATCTTAAAAACAGGATTTTTAAAGTGACACTTCAGAAAATTTTTGAATACAAACAAATGTTGCTATGTTTATTTGAATTAAAAAAAAAACATATGAGCGCCATCTATCGATAATTTATTAAGTCATTTAAAAATAATATTAAATCGTAATAAAAAATGTGAAATAATGCAATCTATTCCAACTTTTGTGTAAAACATATATAAATTAAACAGTTCAACAAATATATTTGTTTCAAATATCAGAAATATGTTTTTTTAATTTTTAGTTATAGAACCGTAATTTACAGGAAACTGTAAATTTAATTTCTTCGACGACACTAAAAGAAAAGTTTATTTTTAGCTTTATTCTAAAACAATAAGAAATAGACCTGTCAAACCCTATATTTTTGTAATCAGAAAAAAATAACGAATTTAATAAGCGAATAATCAGTGGTTGTTTCCATTTAAAAAAACGAACATTGTGATAATATCTCAAAATCTAAAACCGACAAAATTTTTTTGACTACGTCATCAAATTCTCTGTAAAAAAGTGTCCATATAATGTTTTAGTTATAATACTCCAGCTATAATAATAACCAAGATAATTGCGCTTGCTGGTTTTACGATATTTTCAATTTTAGCCTCTAGCGGAAAAACAAAAGACGATAGCGCTATGAGGTTTTCGGCATTAGCAGTTTCTCGAAAAACGAGATCATGACATGTAAGCTACTTTTTTTCTAACTCTTATAGTTTCCGAGTTAGCCTATTCGGACATCGAATTTGAACCACCCTGTACATGGAATATCAAAACAATGGAACAAGCTGGAAAAATTTAAGAACAGAGGAAGATATCATGGGGGTTATGAGATGATAGAGTGTGCTATTCTAGATCAATCCATGGAAAGTGTTAGTTCTAGTTTTACTTCAATTGAAAATATACAATAACCTGACGCTGAAATACAAGTAAAACTAGTACACTAGACAACAAAGTAGCGCTGAATAGTAAATAAAATTAGAACTAACACTAAACCTAGAAACATTAGCCGTCTTAAGATAAGCACGGCTAAACCCGAATATATCTAGTGTTACTGCTAATCATAAATATTTAAAATCTAAAATAAAATATTGATGTATCAATTTGAAAATAAATGATTTGGGTGCCATCTATTGGCTTATTAAAGCAACTAGAAATACCTTTTGAATCGAATAGATGGCGTATAACGATTTGTTAAAAATATCAATGTGGCTTAAAAGATTATTACTCAGAATTTGTAAATAATAATAGAGATTTAATTTAATAGGATAAATTTATTTTTGATAATACAAGTTGACAATGAGGAATGTTTTTTTTTTTTCAAATTTCGTTTAACAGACTCCGAAGAAAAAGCCAATTTGTCACGGTTTCTTAATTTTTATGGATCAATGTTTTCCTTTTAGCGAACAGTTTTTTCATAAAAAAAAAGAAAAAAAATCATATTGAGACGGAATTAAGTTAAGTTTAAACCTAAAAAACGTTTTGCGAGCGATAAAAAAATTCTATTATAAACTATTTTTTATATTATGTATGTTTTATAATTTATTTATTTTTTATTAAATAATTTTTTTTTGACATGACAACCGTTAAAAAATAAACTTCCCATACGATTTCTTTTTAATTTACTATTTTTATTTATTTAAATTTAAATGAAGAAAAGCGGAATAAATAAAAATTGTCCAATATACTTTATTATTTTTTTTTTTGTAATCAAACTTTTTTTTTCTCATTCAGCAATTAAACTAAAAAAACACTTTTTCGTATTTTCAGACACGACAAGAAAAAAAAAACAGAAGAAATCTCGACGGATAATAATAATAATATTAATAATTAAACACACTGACAAGAAACAAGAGTTCACCTAACATCCTTATTTTTCTATATTTTTCCAGCATCCAGTTTTTTTTGCATTCCTTTTCATATTTTTTTATTAAATCCTTTTTATACGACGAAAATCATAATAATTATAATATTAATAGTAAATAATCGCATTTTTTTGTTGTTGCTTTTGTTGGTTGTAGTAGTTATTTTTAAATTTTCTTTTAAAACACTGCACTTTTAACGGTTGGCGTTCTTTAGCTGATTGGATAACCAATCGAGACCTTCATAAAGCCCATCTCCACTTGTCGCGCAGGTAGCCTGAATATACCAGTTTCGGTTTCTCAACGAATGTAAACCGAGCTTATCTGTGATTTCCGCTGCGTTCATCGCATTCGGCAAATCTTGTTTATTCGCGAAAATCAAAAGCACCGCATCCCTGAGCTCATCCTCTGCCAACATTCGCATTAATTCATCTTTTGCTTCACCAATACGCTCCCTATCATTGCTGTCTACTACAAATATTAGGCCCTAAACAAAAATTAAAATAATTAATTATTCATAAAGTTCCTTGAAAAATGTTTCATATCATGACTCATTGTTTACGTGATTAATACGGAAAAGTGATTACATTGTATCGAGGTTATTTTGAATTTTTTGGTGACAAATCATCGTTTTTTATTTCATCCTTTTCTAAAAAAAAAACTTAAGTGCCTCTACTTAGATAAAATCTTTATCTTATCGCAATAAAATCTAATTACATTTATTATAGCAATAAAGTTATTAAGGTTCACTTTGTAAATGTAAAGATTTTAGTGTTAGATTAAATAAATTCTAATTATAACTAATGGTTAGAAACAAATTTTTTGATCCTATCTAATTAATTATAAGTATATTTGGAGATACGAAAGTGAAGACTATAGTTTTTTATATGATTGCAGAAGAATCTGATACCATTAGCGAAAATTAAGGTTGATATTATGCTTAGTTGGTGCACTTTGGCAGCCTGAAAGCGGTAACCAACCCAAATAGGAAGCAGGGTCAGGATTTGAGGGAGGTCAGGACTAAACATCTTCTTCTTTTGGTAACAATTCGTTTCATACATTTGCTATCATCTTGGATTTCTGCCAACTTCGTACCCCCAGCCATGTTTTTACATCTGCCTCCACAGCATCCACTTTTTCTTGGCATTTGGTTATTTATCATTCAAGTAATTCCATCCTCCACCCCTGCCTTCTACTGTTCAAGTCATACACAAGCCTCCAATGAATTGGTCATTGGTGTTTTTGTTAATCTAATTGAGTTTGATAGGAATCTATTCAATTAAATGTTTCTATTCCAATTCCAAGTCTTGTTTCGTGTTTAACAGACGTGTTTAATTTCTTCTTGATAGCTTATTGTTTACCCCAATTCGTTTCAGCACATAGTAATGTTTGCTTTGTATAACTGCCTCAGTTCTTAATAGGGCTGGAGATCCAGGACGAAACGATGTAGTATAGGATTGGACTTAAAACAATTATTTTCAAATCATCACTCAGAAACCAAGGCGAAGGATGAGACAATAAGAAAAAAATTCTGTCACACTCTACAACACGCCAATAAGGAATCTCAATGCTAAAATAGGAAAATGACCTACATACCAAATGTAATAACAATGGTGTAAGCATAGTCAACTTTGTCAACCATCTCTAGAGGAATAATTGTTGCATCAAACTAATATCCTAGAAAACACATTCATACATGCAAATAAACCATAATCAAATAGACCAGAAAAAAGAGGTGCATCAAACAAATTAAATGTGATTCTGACTCAATCTGGTTGGCATCCCTAAGCTATACTTGGAGAGACTAAAAGACAAGGAAACATGATTACAATATCAACTATCACTAAAAGAAGAGCTCAACACTGCGTCAACTATACACTCTAGGAGCAAATATCTGAGAAGTATTTAACTGCTGTAATAGCATCAGCTGATTTAACAGAAAGGTACAAATAAAGAGAATGTGGAATTTTTATGACCAAACATGTTCCAAACAATTCAATGTGATTTACAACCAACCTAAATACCAGCAATTGAGAAGGCCAAATGATGGAGCACCTCAAGCAAACTCATTACCTCAAATGACTTCCAACCACCACACTGAAACTGAATTGATACAATGTGGAGCTTTATCTTGTAAATACCCCATTTGTAGTACTGTTTGAAAGATCCTCTAATATAACAACCTGCTCCCCCTGAATTTTCTAAGTTAATATTCCAAAACAACTAAAACCATCAAGTCTGTAAACTGAACCTAAATTTCCATTGGGGTTAACAAACAAAAGTAAAAAGTGGAATAATTTCTATTATACAAACTGATTTTTTTCTGTATTTTGAAAATGTAGACTATTTGTAAGACTTTTCTCAAAATAAAGTATCATAGGCACATTTTTTAAACATAGTAAGGCAAAAGACTTACTAAATTAATGATTAACAATTTTTAATTCTTGTAATGACCCCCAAGTGCTTCATGTAGGAGCACAAGATAAACAGAAAGTACTCAACCATGGTTGTCCATGTATTTAAAAGCCACAGCAAGAGTTAAAACATGGATAAAAATAAAATTTACAACCAAAAATCTAAAAGGGACAATACCATAAAAAATATAGCTTAATATAAGTGGTTGTGATTAGATCGACATAATTAAAAGATGATGTCATCATTGGATTTCAATGTGGCATATATTTTAATTATCTATATCACAATAGGAAGTTACTCATATCAAGAATATTATTATAACATCTTATATAAAATTACCCACATTGTTTTGAGGTTATCTTTGAATCATTTTATTAATACCAATATAATTAGAATATGTTCAAATTGGATGAAATAACACAATTTTGGCAACTAAATTAATTGCAATATTTACCTGTGTATTTTGAAAATAATGTCTCCACAAAGGTCTGATTTTGTCTTGACCACCAACATCCCACACGGTGAAGCTAATGTTTTTATATTCTACAGTTTCAACGTTGAATCCTAATATAAAAAAAAAATTTCATCATATTTTGTCAATAAATAACCTATATTTGTTACATACCGATGGTTGGAATTGTTGTAACGATTTCTCCTAATTTAAGTTTGTATAAAATTGTGGTTTTACCGGCCGCATCTAAACCTACCATTAATATTCGCATCTCCTTTTTGCCAAAGAGACCCTTAAAAAGGTTAGCGAACATATTCCCCATGACTGTGCCGTTTAATTTAACCTAAAATAAAAATAATCATTAAAAATCGTTCCCAATACGTTCTAAACGTGGAAAAAACAAAGCCCCTTAAAACCAACTTGACGAGTTGTCACAAGTTACAACGCATTTATTGATGTTAAACCGCCCCAAAAAAAAATACGACTAAAAGACCCAAACGTTATTGAAACCATCTATTATTAGTTAAATTTTTAATCTAATAACTTACTTCTTTATACAAAAACACGGATACACCTTAAAAACACCCAAAACCATTCACTACAGGTTCTCGCGAAAAGCTCGTCTAATGTCAAAATGGCGGTCGAATGAAATGAAACGCCACGTCTCGGCGACGAACACTTGCGATTGGTCGAATCTGTACCACGTGACCCGATTTTAGTTGGTTAACAGTAATTTTTGGTGTTAAACTTACCGTACCGCGTCACTAAAAATTGCTAATATTTCTCGTTTTTCAACAAAAACCGATTTAAATTTGTTGTCCACACTAGTTTATTACAAGATGGAATATCCAAATACCCCCTTTAAAAGCGACTTTAACACTGAAATACTAACGAAAACGCACTGCGATGACGCTTGTCAAGTAAAAACTTGGGGAATTCCTATTCGGTTCAGTTGGTTGCATGTAATTTTCCTTTCGATTTTAGGAGGTTGATTCAAATTCTGATGAGTTGGAGGGTTTGTTGAAATGGTTGTGTTCAACACCGAATATTACTTCTTTAAGGGTTAATACGCTTACTAACGACGTTGAGGATGTTTTAAATGTAATTAAAACGTATTTGAATGATAATGTAAGTACAAACAAAGAAATATTAATCTAATTTAATTTCAATGAAAATTCATAGATGGCGAAAACAACAAATTTAAAATTTTAATTAATATAATTTTTAGAATATCAAAGTAGAAATTCATCCAATTTTAAAAGAAGTAATAATTATTCATAATATCCCCATAGAACGCTTAGATTTAAATAAAAAAAAACAAGAAGTTATTATCGATGTTCATTGTGGTGCTTCAGTTTTAAGAGGGGCCCATATTTTCGCTCCTGGGGTAATTGGAATGCAAAAAGGGGCGCAATTAAACGATAAAGTTAGTGTTTACGTGGATGTTAATAAAAAGTGTAAAAAAGGATTTTGTGATATTTTTAATTTAGGTCGAAAAGTGTTTGTTGGAAATGGTGTTGTTAAAATGACACGAAAGGAGTTATTTTGTGATAATAATTCTTTAAAGTAAATTAAATTAACTTAAATAATTAAATGAAACGAATTACAAAAATGTTTTTTAGGGGAATTGCAATTGAGATGTTAGCTACTACTTCAGGTTGTCCAACTTTAAATATAAACAATTTACCAACCGGTTCATGTATTTTACAAAATTTGCCATCGATAATTTGCGTTTATTTAGTTGCGCCTAAACCAAACGAGGTTATTTTAGATATGTGTGCAGCTCCCGGGCATAAAACAACACATATAGCAGCTTTAATGGAAAATAAAGTAATTTTTTTAGTTGGGTATTCTTTAATTAAAATTGGAATTTTAGGGAATTTTAGTTGCTTTGGATAAGATTCAACCGAAAATTAATCAACTCGAAAGAATTCGTGATGAATTTAAAGCGAATTTTAAAGCATTTCGTGCCGATTCAACAAAAATCTTATTAAAAATCGAAAACAATATGCATTCTTCAAATAATGTTTTAAATGGACCTCCTTTTTTAATGGAAAGTTTCGACAGAATCTTATTAGACGCTCCTTGCAGCGCTTTGGGGAAACGACCTCAATTTTTAAACGATTCTACAGAAAAAATTATTCGCAGTTTTGTTCCTTTGCAAAGAAAACTATTTGAAAATGTAAAATAAAAGTTTGACATAAAATCCCAAAATAATTTTGTCTTAATTTTTAGGCGGTTGCTTTGTTGAAACCCCACGGAACTCTCGTTTATAGTACTTGTACGATCACTTTGGGTGAAAATGAAGGTGTAGTTGCTTGGGCTCTGAAGAAATTCAAGAATTTGAAGCTTATTGAACCCCCGTCCGAATTGAAATTGGGCTCAAAAGGATGGAAAGGAACTGATTTAAGCGATAAGCATTTGAGTTACGTGCAACGATTTGATCATTTAAGTGTAGATGTAGACTCTGTCGGTTTTTTTGTTGCTTGTTTTAATAAAAGTTAACAATAAAATAGATTTTTTGTAAATAAATAAAATAATTAGTGTTAAGCCCGCCATCTAATAGATAGAAACTAAACTACCGTTGTATAACTAATTATTTTGTATGTTCACTTACAATTATTGTAAGTGAACATACAAAATAATTAAAATAGGTTGAAATATTTTAGATTAAAAGAGATATCTAATTTAATCTACGTACATAGATATAATTCTAAAAATAGTCAAAACGTGTTAAAAATTTAATTGTTAAGCACATAGATGGAGCTAGTACAAATGTCACATTTTTTAAACGTCAAAAAGAAACTTATTTTCTTAAAACATTTCTTCATAAAAGAAGTGTTAAATTCTTGATTTCAACCTAAATAAAGTAATATTAATAATGCCTTGTGGTGATCCAAAAGCTCGCGATCGTTCCGTTCGAAAACCAGTGGTAGATTTTCATATAAACGAAACAACATTAACGGAAACGAATAAACCAGTTGATTTTTCTTTTCATGCTTTAACGGATTTAACACCTATCGGTATTGAACAAGCTCGATCAACAAGACTTGGGGAACCACCCGAAAGACATCACGAAAGTAGAAAATTCTTAACGAAAGGAATATGGTTAAATAACAATAAATTATCAAACTTGGCTGGTTTGGATGTGTTTCTTGCAAATATTATCGATAGACCGGATCTTTTAACATACATTGATTTCTCGTTTAATCGAATCAACAAAATCGACGATATCATAACCAGTTTTAAAAACTTGGCTGTTTTGTATTTTCACGGGAATGAACTTTCAAACGATTACGAGCTAATTAAATTGTATAAATTAAAAAAATTACGGAATATAACTTTTCATGGAAATCCAGTGAGTGAATCGCCGTTTTACCGGAAAATCGTTTTACTTTGTATGCCGAATATCGTGCATTTGGATCATTGCGCAGTGTTAAAAAGCGAGAAATTGCAACCTCCTCATCCAGATGCTTTAGAAATGTTGAGGAAATATCAACAAGGTGATGGCAAAAAGAAATTTACGGGTAGAACTATTCGAATTGAAGATTTAAATGCGGTGCCCCCAAAAAAAGATGGCGATAAACAAGAAGAAAAACATGAAATAAAAGGTGAACCTGCACATGATGTAAAAGGAGAAAACCAACACAAAGAAAAACCGCGAAAAGTTGCCCCACATCAAGAACCTAAAAAGGGTCCAGTTATTGTTACTGTACCTGGAATTACAAAGGAAGCATTTAAAAAACGACTGGGTGCTTGCAGATGTTGTCAATAAAAGGAAATTATTTCTAATAAAGTTAAATTTCTAGTCGAAATTATTTTTCAATGAACATGTAAATATTCTTATTTTTGAAATAATTAAACGTATATCTTTTGCATTTATTGGTATTTTTATTGTAACTCTACCTGACGCGTTTCGGCAGCCTACGCCGAATCTAGCTAGAAATGGCTATTTGTTAGTTTTTAAATATTATTGAATTATGTAGGCTACCAACATTGCATATTATAGCTATTAACGTTGCAGTGCCACCTTTCGTTGGCTAGCTGATTCAAATGACAAGTTTGTTCCAGTTTTAGTTGGTATTTAATGTTAAATTGTTGTATATGTTCATTGAACTAACACTAGACCTAGAACCAGAAACATTCGGGTTTAATCCGTCTCTTAAGACGAAAACTCAGAATTATCATAAGAACATCACCTTTTCACTTTCACCTTCACCTTCACCTTTTTTGTCACCTTTTCTAAGCAAAACTGTTCCTTTGCAAAACTACCTGTACTATTGAGCTATGTTGCATTTGATGTAGGACAGTGCATTCATATATTACGAGTTATTTGAAATTCCCGGTTTTATTTTAATATTAATATAAATACAAATTTTTAAATTAATAATATATTACCAACCTAAATTCTTGTAACTATTTCATAACCTCCAAATACTTGAAACGTCAAAACAACTTTTTTGCAATCATATGGAAGAAAAAAATTTAACGTAGTTTACTATTTTAAACCTTTTGCGATAACTATACTATTAAAAAAACGTTAAGAATTTAAATTACGTTGCTAAAAGCGAATAGTTTCACGGTAAGAGACGTGGCATTAATTCAAAAATGTAAATAAAAAGCTTTTGCGTTGGCGTATTTGTAAGTGAATAATTTTATTGGTGTTGTTGATAACAAATTGTTAAGAGATAAAAATTTGAGATGTTCGATTGAAAAGGAAAGATGGTTTACTTAGAAAATTTACAATCGGTTTTGTCTGTAACCGTATCTGTTTCTACAATTTTACAATTTTTATCTGGAGTGTAAGTTATTTAATTTATTTTAATGTTGTGTTAAATTGATTTTTTTTAGGTTGGTGTGTAAGAAAATCGTCGAACGTAAAAGCAGTGGAGATATATCTCCTGTTTCATTCATTTGTGGTCACCTTTCAACATCTTTATGGTTAAGATATGGATTCTTAATTGACAATTTTTCTGTTATTTTTGTTAACAGTATTGGGTGTTTATTATTTCTTTCATACACAATCATTTATGGGTATTATACTATTAAAAAGGTACTATTTTAAGGATAAAAATATATTTGAGATAAATCTTGTTGTTGTCATGGTTACAGCTGTTTTAATTAAGCACTCTCATTGATTAAAAGTGACATCATATTACACAAAAATTTTTTTAGGTTATTTTATGGAGGCAATTTTACATATCATGTACAGTATTATTATTAATTTTGGCTTATTCTACTTACTACAGACATGACAGTGATTTACAGCAAAATATGGGTATTATTTGCTGTGTAGTTACAGTAATATTTTTCGCATCACCCCTTTCTTCTGCCATGTATGTCATTAAAATGAAAAATACAAGTAGTTTACCATTTCCATTGATTGTTGCAAATTTTATTGTGGCTACTCAGTGGTATGTTTATGGGGTTTTATTGGAAGATCAATTTATACAGGTAATTATTCTTAAAATAACCTTTATTTTCTTTCTTGCTTAATTAATAAAATTTTTTTTTCAGATTCCCAATTTATTAGGAAGTTTGTTATCCCTTTTCCAACTACTTTTATTCTGCATTTTTCCAAGTAAAAAGTATCAATCTTTAGAAGATGACATTTAAAATTAAATAATTATATCTGTAAATGAGAAAATGTTCATAAAAGTATATATTTAAACATAATAAGATGGAGCACTACTTAAGAATTTGTAAATCAGCTTATTGTTCCATTATATTTTCATGTAATGTTAAAGATAAAAGTTGGTGTTTTAGAATTACTGACAAAACTGTGTTCTCTCTGTGGATTAAATAAACAATGTGATGTCATATTAAATAAATATATTGTTCCTCTTCAGATCTCTTTGATTTTTGAAACTCAATTTTTTAGGAATAAAACGTTAATATAAAAAGAAACATGAAATATACATTTATTTACCTTTTTCTTGTAAAAACATAGATACGATATAAAACTAAACCTTTAAAAAAACTACATACAAATAAGATTTTACAAAAAAATCCAACACTACATTACTTATTACAACTGAACATCAGCAAACTTAGGACTGACAGTAATCTTACTTCTATTCGTTTTTCTCAAACTCCCCAATATATTCAACATTTCACTCATTGCTTTCGGCGTTTCCCTTTCTTTTTTACCAGAATCACTTTTTCTTTTTTTCAAGGTAAACATCCCCGTTTTAATTTGATTAATAATATCGTCATTAACTCCGTTTACCGCAGGTTTTTTCGTTTCATCAATTTCCGGACAAGAATCTATGCAAGTTTCTAATGGTACTAAAGAATTCTTCTTTTTTGTCCGTAATGGTGCTGTTGGTGGAGCTAACGATGTTAGCGGTGGAGGTGGTGGTGGCGGGGGTGCTACAAAGGGAAGAGGTGGTGGTGGTGGTGGCGGAATTGATTCTTTTTCGGTTTCTTCTAACTTTTTTAATGCGTGATCTAACTCAGTTTCGACTAACTTCAAACGTTCCTCTAAGATTTCTACTTGAGAATTGGATTCTTGTTGGTCTAACTTATCCTAAAAGAAATAAATTTTAATGGTTAAAATAAACAAAAAATATTTATGTAGTACCTGAAGCGCAGTTATTTCTAAGTTATGTTTATTTCTTTCTTCTTCAATCGTTCTTTTTAATTCTTCAATTTCAAAGAGTAACATTTCATCAAAACCTTCATCCGAGTTAATTCCTTGCATTAAAACAGTGCTTTGATGAGCCAAGACGTTTCTTTCTTTTTTAAAGTTATCCGCTTCTTTTCTAAAATAAAAAATTCCCTTAAAAATTTTTATAAATTATTTTTTAATTTTTTACCTTAATCTAACAGCTTCATCTTTTTGTATTTCCTCAGATTGTTTCGTTTCTTCCAAATCTTTCTGCAACATCTTTGATATTCTCAATAATTGTTCATTTTCTCTTTGAATTTCGATTATTTTCGCTTCCATTTCTTTCGTTTTTTTCTTTTCCGTTTCGAGATCTTGACTGAGATTAATATTTTGTTCTATCGTTTCAAATTCTAATAATTTAGCTGCGTTTAATTCAGATTGTAACCTCCCGATTTCAACGCTTAGTTGTTTAACAGATTCCCTTAAATTTTCTAAATCATGATCACCGCTTGAATCGTCTGGATCAACTCCTTCATCCACATAATCTACGTCTAAATGAAGTGTTCGTCTTCTCAACACTTTATTTTCTCTGTACCAATTACTCGCATCACTTAAAGCCCTATTAAAAAAGTGATTGTTGATTTCAATTATAGGACAAAATTAAATAATTAGATCTTACATATGCATTGCTCCCGTTTCTGTTTCATATTTATTCTTTAGCATGTCATATTCTTGAAATAAACTTTTTGAAACCGTTGTTAACTTGGTTAAACTTTCGTTTTTTTCGAATAATTCCGTTTCGAGTTCTTCATTTTTGTTTTGGACGTTGTTGTATTGCTTCTCTAATTCCAAGTAATTTCGTATATCTTAAAAAAAAATAGAAAAAATCATTTTAAATAATGAAAAATGTTTATTATAATTACTTCGTGTGTATAAACCGAGCATTTTGTTGTAATTTTCTTTTAGATACTAATTAAATTTTGATTTATTTTGACGCAAAATTGACAATAATTTTGATAAATAACAGAACAATTTTTATTTATTTTGTAACATAGTAAACGCAGATAAATAAGAAAATTATTAAAATTGATTTGATATTTAAGAAATTTTCATTGCTTTTAACAACTTAATAATGTTCCAACAGGAAGAATCTATTAAAATTGTAATCTCTAAACATCCCATTACATCACTTATCAAAAGAATGATTTCTTTTCTACAAAAACAGATTAAAGTTGTAGTTGCACTCGCAATGAATTCAAATGAACAAAGTGCGTTGACTTTTAAGCTATCTATTCCAGTAACCATTTCCGTTTTGTACAAAGCTTCCCGTTTCTTTCTTCCGAGTCAGAATAGGATAAAATTATTTTCAAAGCAATGTATGGTTTATGTTAATCTTTAAAAAAATCTGTTAATAATGAAGAAAGGTTAAGATATGTTTTAATAGAATTTCTTTTGTGGTTATATCAACCGGTAAATAATACAGTAACACCTTTAAGTAACGTTCCTATTGTTGAACAGCATCTTTTAATGGTAATCGTGACGACATCAAGCGGTTCTTTCACTTTACTGAGACAGTCACTTGGTGATATAGAATTTCCGACGCGTGTAAAATGAGAGACGAGGAAAACGATTTTAATTTTTTGAATTTGTCTTGAATTCCTATTCAAACTTTCATTTACAAACAATACAATGAATTTCACTTAAAATGCAATATACAAAAATAATTTTCTATAGAGTAAGTAGGAAAAAGGGGGAATTTTTGAATACAGGCCTCATCACCCATGGGCTGTATCTTCGAAAGTAGCAAACTCCTTCGTTTTGATGTTAATCACAAAGTCTCCTTAGAAAAAAAATTAAGTTTCTACGAAAGCCATACATTTTAGATATAGGCATGTAATGACAAAGTTCTCTTATTTCTCAACGTACAGTTTGGAAAGGAAAAAGTTGAGGTTGCCATTTAAAAAAATTAAGTTTTCGACTTTTGGGAAATTCGGCGCAAATTTCTGACCACCCTGTATAATTTTTTTAAAATTTTTTCAAGTGTTATGTAAGCTATGAGTCCTCTCTGTGCAAACCCTGAGAATATTTGGCTGGACTCGAGTGTAATTTCGAAAAATTATTGTTATGGTGAAGGGTAGCATCTGTCAAAATTTTTGAAAAAACTGAAATAATCAAAAATGGTGCATTCTAGACATAATATGATGATTTATATCAAATTATATTAACCCTTTGTATCCCGGCGGTACTTTAAAGTACCGGTAGTTTTAAACACTCATTTTAAACTGTAGTCATCTATTCGGCGCATTTAGAACTATCGGNTGTTAATCACAAAGTCTACTTAGAAAAAAAATTAAGTTTCTACGAAAGCCATACATTTTAGATATAGGCATGTAATGACAAAGTTCTCTTATTTCTCAACGTACAGCTTGGAAAGGAAAAAGTTGAGGTTGCCATTTAAAAAAATTAAGTTTTCGATTTTTGGGAAATTCGGCGCAAATTTCTGACCTGTATAATTTTTTTTAAATTTTTTCAAGAGTTATGTAAGCTATGAGTCCTCTCTGTGCACACCCTGAGAATATTTGGCCGGACTCGAGTGTAATTTCGAAAAATTATTGTTATGGTGAAGGGTTGCATCTGTTAAAATTTTTGAAAAAACTGAAATAATTCAAAAATGGTGTACTCTAGACATATGATGACTTATATCAAATTATATTAACCCTTTGTATCCCGGCGGTACTTTAAAGTACCGGTAATTTTAAACTGTAGTCATCTATTCGGCGCATTTAGAACTATCAGTACTTTCTACTAAGTTTATACGAAAATATAAGTTTTATTGCAACCTTTTTTTTCTCAATATTTTTCCGATCCAACCCAACAATTATTATACATCATTTNTTTTGAAATAATCGACAATTTTTTCAAATTTTGCAATTTTCGTCGATTAAGTGTTAAAAATTCGTATAAAATTAATTTCTTGAAAGATTCTGTATGTAAATTTGATGATGATAAAAAAGAAAACAAAGTATATTTTGAATGCTGCTCATGGAATTTTATTTGATACATTATTATAAATAAATACATCCATATAAAATAATTTCCAGTCCCCATTGGAGACGGTTGTAAAACTTATATTTGCAGACCCCACACGGAATATTAAATATATAGGTTATTGTAACTTAGTATTGTCATTATTTTCTTTCAGTTTTTCATTTAACATCACAGAATATACATTATACTTTGATTTATTGTATTCTAGTTAGGGTGAAATCCGTCCTGGAAATGACCTCAAATTTTAATTATATTTTTATTTAATCATCTTCAAGGTGGATTTTCAACCCCGATAGTAATAACATACAGTTACATGCAATAAAGAAACCCTTTTCTTATTAATTTTTTTTAATTTTGTTATATACATATATTTTTTATATTTTTTTTTCCGTATCGGCTTTTACATTACTAAACATTTGGCCCTTCAAGTGTTTGTAATATAAATGCTGATTACGTTTACACACGAGAAAATTGACTAGTCATTATTGTCGGCAGCTATGTAATATTAATTTTTTTTTAATCGAAATACTTCAATTTAAAATACAGCTTGTGATTTTTTTTTTATTTTTGATTAAGTTAAAATTTAACAAACTCTTATTACGTCTTACTTATTGTCACCAATCACTGACCTATTTATAGTTTTAAAATTCATTTATTTATTTTAGGAGAATATTTGAAAAAGAACCGGAAGAGAACTTCGATACTGTAAAATTTCGCAGTCTCATTTCTTATTTTATTTTTTTATTAATTTATATTTCAACTAAACGAAAAAAATATTCATTTTTATATAAAAATATACAGTGATTTATTGAAATATGATTGAATTGACTTCATTTATTTATTAGTTTTGATTTTATGGTTTTTAATGTTGTCTTTAATCTTGTATTTTTTTCTTTTGGAAGACAGCGTATGAACGTTCGAGAATTGATCGAACGATAACTTTATTTTTTACAGTATCGAATTTAATTAAAACGCGGTCACAAAATTTTAACGAAAAATAACTTTTATATTCACATTTCATAGTCTTTTATGCGCTCATCGCTTGATATGTAATTATTTGTGATATTTTGGTTGATATCATTCTTGATATTTTGTAATTTTTTTTCAACTTAAAATTATTTTTTTAAATTTTGCGACACGCGTTTTATTGTTTTATATATATTTTATTATATTTTGCGGTTCTCTAAGCTCTACTTTGATTGAATTTTTTTTTTGATAGCTTTAATAGTTATTAAGTTTTAAGTATCGCACTATAGTAATCCTACAAAAATAGGGAAGACTCTCTTTACTTTTTATTAATGGAAATGATTCGGGAGGAATTTGCCGTGGCTGCCATTTTGAAATCCTTATTCCAAAAATATTCATCTTTTTTAATAAAGATATGTTCCTGATTGTTCGTTCTTTTTTGTTCTTTGCGAAAAATGAAACGCTTTAAGCAACAAACATATGTATCAATCGTATCGACTCATCTTAATGTAAATTATAAGGTGTAGCGGAAAAAATTGGAAAATAAATAAAATATATTACGGACACTCTGTATTTATCCAGCCTCTCATAAATACTTGAGCGATTTTTTTTGGTTTGAATGCAAAGCTAGATCAGAAAATGACATCCATCGTTGACGAGAGCCGGCCGAGTATCCTTCTAGACTCAACCTGGTAGTAAACTTATCATTTACGACACTTATTCCGCTATTACAGTAAAGTGATTAAACCAATCGGGATATACTTCATGGTTTTAGTCAGTTTTTATTATTTCTTAGTTTGCGTTTGGGTTCTGCAAGTCATCCATGGTGGACACAATTAAAATAAAAGCCCGTCAAAGTCGGTCTGTAAAAGTAAAAATTAATTAATTATCAATAAAATTAAAATTATTAAAGTTAATTAATTATCGTACCAATATGCAACCAATATCGCACTACTGGTATTGCAATACGCGTATTGTGATGTTGGTTGCATACTTGATTAAAATCTTACATTGTACGAAGTGGTGTCGAAAAGAGAAGAAGTATGCGCTTTAGCTTTATCCTTGAAATAACCGTGATCTTGAACATAGTGTTGATCGTCAACGTCAGTTCGTGCAGCTGGTGCTAAAATGTCAGGGAACGATAATAATCCGCCTCTAACCAATGAATCTTCTTCCCGCATATTTCTACCGTCCATATCCATATAAGCGTACGACATATCTCTGAGATTTCTAATTTAATAAAAAAGAAATTAAATCAAATTGAATCCGTTTAACCCTTTGTATCCCGGCGGTACTTTAAAGTACCGGTAGTTTTAAACACTCATTTTAAACTGTAGTCATCTATTCGGCGCATTTAGAACTATCGGTACTTTCTACTAAGTTTATACGAAAATATAAGTTTTATTGCAACCTTTTATTCTCAATATTTTTCCAATCCAACCCAACAATTATTATACATCATTATAAAAAGAAAGCTTTGAGCTTTAATTTAGAACAACTCTCATTCCTTAATTTCAATAAATACGATTTCCAGGAATTTTTAAATTAGCATCTTTTTTGACACTTTTAGTTTATACGAAAATGTAAGTTTTGTTTCAACATTTTTTTTCTCAATATTTTTCCAATCCATCCCAACAAGTATTATACATCATTTTAAAGAGAGAGCTTTGAACTTTAATTTAGAACAACTCTCATTCCTTAATTTCAATAAATACGGCTTCCAGGAATTTTTAAATTAGCATCTTTTTTGACACTTTTAGTTTATACGAAAATGTAAGTTTAATTTCAACATTTTTTTTCTCAATATTTTTCCAATCCAACCCAACAATTATTATACATCATTTTAAAGAGAAAGCTTTGAGCTTTAATTTAGAATAAGTCTCATTCCTTAATTTCAATAAATACGGCTTCCAGGAATTTTTAATGTAGCATCTTTTTTAACACTTTTAGAATATACGAAAATGTAAGTTTTATATCAATATTTTTTTCACAAACTTTCAAAATTTTTGACTTCTTGGGACACAAAGGGTTAATGAGAGTTCGTGTTAAATCCGGAATTGGACTAATTAATTAATCAAACGTTCCCTTGGAGAGCGCAGACATCTGTTGAATCGTAATAAAGTTGTAATAAACGCCCGAAATAACTTTATCGATTCTCAAAAAATTCCGCAAACCGCGAAAAAAATTTAATATTGAAGCGTTAAATATTGTCTCATCAAATATTAGAACTTACGATTGCCCTCGTTGCGTAGACTCGGCTAATTCCTTCATAGCGGCCGCTCTGGCAGCCGCTTCTTCGGCGAGTCTTTGTTCTTGAAGTTCTTTAGCTCGTTCAGTTCTAATTAACTCCTAGATCAAACAAGTATTTTTTATTTATTTTATTATAAATTAATTAAAAATCACACCTTTAATTGTTGAAAACTACCGGATTGTGGTGGCCATCCTGATGATGTACCACCGCCTACTACCCTGAAAGGAAACCTCCTGCGGGGCTCTTCTACGGGACGAGAATCTCCGAAAAGCATGTCATAAACACGACCCTTATCCGGAAGATCTTGTAAACGAAGCAAAGGAGCTTTGTGAATCACCCGACCGTATACTGGAGGTTTCGTCTTGTAACGATTCCCAATGCGCATTCTGAATTAATTTTTGAAACCTGTTGATTTTGAAATTATCCCGGTGTTTGAAACTTACCCACCACCGCTTCTCGATCGAGCGTAATACGGTTCCCAAACGTTATATGAGAACGGATCCCTATACGTGGGAATTTCATTTGTAATTTCCGCCGCTCTAGATTGTCTTTTAGAAAATCGCCACATTGCTTTCAACTCTTCGCAGGTAGGCTCCCCATTAGCCTCTTTACTTCCGGTTGAATCACCCCCACGGAAGTCTTTACCTCCTCTAGGGTACGAAGTAACTGTACCCGAGACAACTAGCAGTAATATTGTACTTCTCACCATAGGTAGCAATGTGCACATCTAAAACATTACCAAGTATACGCGATAATTTTTTTTCAAAAGTCGAAACTATTTCATTCCATCCTGCAAAATACTTTAAACTAAATTGGGTTTATATATAAATTTAATATATAAATTTTATATAATAGGGATTAAGGATTAAGTATCAATTATAAAACGGTTTAGTGAGATTTGAATTTTTATAGCTTTATGCAAATTAAGTTTCCGCCCACGGTTTTTAAAACGGGAACGCCCCATTATTAGATTATCCACGGATTTATGTCTTTTCCGGGTTTTTCGATTTTTCCACCCCCACCCAAAAAAAAGCTTTCACCTACCGCTTTCACAGGTGGGTGATTTATAGGGTTTTCCATTCACCAAAAAATGTTCATAACATCATCGTCGTGACTTACCTTAATTTCGTATTATTCAAATTTGTGCAACACTAAAACTTGTTGAATTCGGTTTGGGTTCATGCATATTTATTTATTTTTTTTTTAATTAAGGATGCGGCAATAATCAAAGCTAAATTAACTTATAACGTAAAAGTTTACCTTGTAAGGTGTCTTTTCTCGTCAGAGTTTTGATTTTGAGGATGTGCAGTGCAAGATGTAAATAGAGTTAAAAGTGCGGAAGTGAAAACGTGAAACGCCAACCGCGTGATCGCGTGCACTGTGCCCTTATTTAATATGCAGGGTGCTTTGTGCCTTTTTCTTATTAAATTTTTTCTTTACGTGCTATACGTACGCAGGCTCGTGGTGGGCCGCGGTAATATTGGGTGTGTTTGAGGTAAAGAGTCGACACCAGACTGAGAAAACAAACTCAGTCCACCGGCCTCTGCCCCGTTGGGCATTGTACCCCACTATTGTCGACCTGCTCCATGCTCCCGAATTGCTGTACGGTGCGTGCGCCGACTGGCCGCACTGGTTGGCGCTTGCAAACCCCGTCCGTCCGACGTTTCCGTTACGTCCTATTCCCGGCCTTGGCGGTTTGCGCTCGTTTCATTCACGAAATCTAACCCGGATCCCCACCACTTGTGACCATCCAGAGATATTCGTGAACGAGCGTCTACACGTTTCGACTCCTAAATTCAAATCTTGCGCCAACAACCCTCCCCCGAGTCCAAACGACAACGTGCTCCGAAAGAACCCTCATTCGTCTTCTTAATAAATTCATTCAAACTTTATATTTTATCATGTTCATTACAAATTTGTTATATTTTTATTAACAACTACAATGTGTCAATTAATTACGCTAGTTTACAAATTTTAATCATTTTCTTCCTCGAATACTGCGATAAAGTTAATAAATTGTTGCCATCGTTTTTAGGAACTTTCGTCGCGTTGCAATACCAATCGGACAAAAATGTAGAGGAACATGATGAAATGAGCGTTGAAGACGAGGAATTGTCAACGATCGAAGACGTATTATTATCAGGTAACCACTGCTCATTCAACATTCTTGCGACGATGATCCGCCCAGTTCCACTTGAGCTTTGCCACAATGTTGACCGCATCATTTACGCCAGTTCTTCGTAGGTCTTCATTTCGTATGTGGTCCCTTAGGGTTACACCCAGCATCGACCTCTCCATGTTTCTTTGCGTTACTTTGAGCCTCCTGGTAATGGCCACCGTTAATGTTAAAGTTGCGGAACCGTATGTCATAACCAAAGGAAGCACGCATTGATTGAAAACCTTTCTTTTCAAATATACAGGAATATCGCTCATGAAGATGTCTCTAAGTTTCCTGTAGGCAGCCCATGCGAGTATCATCCTTCTGTTTAGTTCGCTTGTTTGATTATTATCTCTCGATACACGAACCTCATGGCCAAGATATATGGCTGCGATGCGAACCAACAGAGATGAGTACTTTAAGAACAATAGTGGAAAAGACAAGAAGAGATAGAGTAAGGAACAAAATTGTAAAAGAATTTTGTAGACTCGGAGATCTCATGAGATTTGCTAGGGGAAAAATAAAAAAATTTAATGAATACTTCCAAAGAATGGAAGAAACCTGGCTGATTAAGACAGCAAGAGACCAAAGATTAGCTAAGAGATCCCGGGATACCAGGAAGTTGGATTTCCAGCTCTAATGAAACACCATGAATGATGCGTAAAAAACAGGTTACAACCTGAATATAAGAAGAAGAATAATAAGATCTTAAACGAACTACTTAATTTTCAATTGGAAATCAACAATCTCATGGATCTTGGAATCTTGGATTTGATGGAAGTGCAATATGACTAGAAAAGAATCAAACAACAAGAATTAATGAAGCACAAAAACTGAATTTAGTCATTAATATTAGACTGATACTCAATTTAGGACATTCAAAGTTGTTTTTCAAGCATTAAAGAAATCGTTAAATATTTTCGAAGAGTATTACGTAAAGGAGAATGGTCGGTAGTGAAAATATAAACTTTTCCGAAATATATGTACACTTAAAGCTAATAACACCAGGAATGTGTATAAATTTGTTAGACAGTTAAGACAAAGGCACAAATCGCACGTAGCTCTATGCTGAGATGGAACAGGAAAAATAATATGTGATAGTGAAATGAATGACATTTAGAAAAATTATTTCCAAAACCTGTTAAGCATAGAAACTGATTTGGAAATAGACAGCAGTCCGTCACGCCAAAGAAAGGATAGTGTCATGGAACCTATATCAATTAGTGAGGTTCAAAACGCAATCACTGCGTCAAAACATGGAAAGGCATCAGGGATTAATGACATACCATCGAAAGTATTCAAGATAGAAGTATTCATTATCACCAATATTGATGTTAGAGCTTGGAACAAGATTTGTCCTAAATTTTGTTGATATTTAGCTCGACTCTTGCACACGCCTCCTGTATACGTTCAGCATCAGTTTCATCTCTCCAAGACTATCCGAAATAAGGACTATATCGTCCGCGTAGCGCAAATTACTTAGGTATTGCCATCAATGTTTATACCTTTTTGGGTCCAATCCAGTTGTTTAAATGCACTCTCCAGGACTGCGATGAACAATTTGGGTTCAACATAATATTGTCTTGTCTTACCCCACGCCCAATGAGTATTCGGTCAGTACTTTCATGCAATTTTACCGTCATTGTAGGAATCCTTTAAATGTAATAAATAAGTTTGGTGTATCGATAATGGACTCTGCATTCTTGAAGTACTTGCAAAACTGCCATCAACTCAATTTAAATCAAATTTTATAAATACCTCTAAATACCCATCTTGGGTAAATACCTCCGGGTATATATCCAGGGAATTTTCCCTTGAAAATAAATACCCGGGTATTTAACAACACTAGATAACACTAGTTTACAAGAAAAATCTCAAAGACTGCGATATTTTTTTTATAACACAGAATGTTGTGCTGATTCTGAAACTGTCTTCAGTTTTCCTCCATCACGTCCAGTTTTTGAGATATACCCAAAAATGTGGAAAATCGTAAATTAAAAAACATAGTAACGGTTCATGCTCAGTATCTTTTTTATTGCACACTATGCAATGTAGAATGAAAGTAGAGATCCAGACGAACATTTTGAGGTATTGATGGCATAAATTGGACTCTCCGTTATTTAGCTACAGCTTAAAACAACTCAACAAAATCAAATTTTTTGGCATTTTTCCCATTTTTTATCACTCAATCGCAGCGTAACAAAAAAGTTAGCTATTCTATCCTGTAGAACATTTAATTCTCTAAATTTCGAAGCATTGGACAACATGGTCGAATGTATTTTACCGGAGATATCGTTAATTCGAATCGTGCAAAATTTCATTTTTTTCCATTTTCACTGTATTATTGAAACATTATTACGAACAATTTCTTTTTAATAAAGAGGTGTTTTAACTCTTCCAGGCACTAAGTATAAACATTAAATTCACTGAAATCAATATTATTTTACCTGTTCTAAATGTTGAACAGTGGCAGTCGTTGACTCTTTTGACTCTTATAACTTTTTTTTTACTCTTTTACTGGATTGTATTAATTGGTCAGGAGGATTTGGTTTTGGCAGAGTTTCACTATGCGCACTCGGGTTGTTGGCTAATCTTACAAACGATACCAAACTTTTCTTTGTGTTTTTATTTATATTGTCTAGGTTTATATTACAGAACTTTTATAGAATTAAATTTTATGTTTTATATATACTACTTTACTTATTGTTAGTATAGTGCAGGATATGACAGGACAAGACAAAAAATATTCAAATCGGTTGAATGGTTCAGGAGATGGCAGTTACATCCCCTAGCGGTCGAATTACGAAATTCAAAATAATTTCCAGCTCAGGCTTTACCTAGGCTTTACTGTTGTCGAGATACAGCTGCTCCGTACCCTTAACGGGACACCCTGTATATACAGAGTTAGGTTAAGTTGCCTCGGTCCATAGCCGAATTATGATTGAGTTTTTCAAAAAATGTTTCAGATAAAAGTTGAATCGAATCATATTGTACATATTTTAAAATTAGTTTCAGTAATTGTGGACTTCCGCTTCTACCGGAAATGGATATCAACTTTGTTATTTTAAAAAAAATTTTTAGCAAAAAATACTTATTTTGTCAAATTATTCAAGACGTTGAAAGAAAAAAGTATATGTAGTGAAAATGACGCCAGAAGGACCTTTAGGCAACCCTGAAAAAAAATCTGCTCATGTGTACCCTGTAACCGTTTTTGGTTTTGAGATATAAGCATATGTCATTTTAAATGAAACACCCGGTATATCAAAAACAACAGTGGTTCCAAAATTTTTTTTGAACCTTGAGGCACACCTAGCGTAATTGCACACGTAGTTGATAGTTTGCCATCACATTTTACCACTTGACCTCTATTTGTTAAGTACGATCTAGTTAATTTAACACTACTGTCATCAAAGTTGTATTTTTTTAAATTTAGCAATTAACAGGTCATGCACTGTCACATGTCTTACTGAGGTCACAAAAAGTTGCTACAGCATATTCCCCATTCTCATAGGCTTAGACACCTTCGCCCAATAATAGGTTAATTAATTTACACATAAATAGATTTTTGGTTTAATTAAGTTAGTAGATAGACTAAAGATGTCTCTAGTAGACTTTGACTTCAATGAATCTACAATATCCCGCACCTCATTAAATGACACCTGCACAAAATAGAAGCAACAATCTGTTATATTACCCTAATTTTATTCAAACGCTCTCTCATCATATCGTCTATCACACCACCACCATCAACACTACCCTGTATCGGATGCGGAATATTTACAAAAACTCATTGGCATAGTCAGGGTCGAAAACTGCTTCAGTTCTTAGGGATCTGTTAACTCTTCTGCTATTAATTAAATTCCACATAGCTTTACCAGAAAAGATAATCTAATAAGATAATCTAATACCAACACATCAATTTGGGTTTCGGAATAAACATGCAACAATAGACCAAACTTTACTTATAAGAAAGTAAACTATGTGAAAGTAATCACTAAGTAACAAGCTTAGTTGCTAATATACAAGCAAGTATTAAAACCAAAATGGACATACGGGTTGTACCTGCAAGATAAATGCAAGTCTGATTCAAAGATTCCAGAACAAAGTGTCCATCGCGACTTGAAAGTAGCATCGGTGTCATCATAAATTGCAGCATTCGCATCTAAACATGAGAAGAGAATGCACGATCATCTCAACATCGAAGCCACCCAGCTTCTCGATAACGAGGATGTCCTGCGTCGCCTTCAGAGGATAAAGCCACTGGCGTATATAAATAATAAAAAGTTATTAAAATGTTCAACGAAGATAATTTGCCTTAAAATTTGCAATAACTGCCTGGTCCATTGGAAACTATTTCCGCCAACGCAAGTGTTTAAGTTCGATAGGTTGAT